CAGATAATCTCAAATTGATGTGAAGATGATGTTTCTACATCAACCTCCCACTTAGTTTCCTTACTGCAGTGGTTATCCTCCTTGCGTACCGGCCACGTGCCAGGAAGGGGAATAAAATCCCTTTTGTCGACCAACAGAAGGTAATGGATATTTCCAAGATAGCATTGGTCTTACCCGGTGTCGTTTGTTTGCTTCTCTTTGGTGCGGGCGTCATCGCGTGCTTCTTTGGTATGCTGTACTACGTCAGCTCCATATCATCCCCCTTCCATAGTACCACAGCCAGTCCTATGAAGCCCCTAACCACCTAACTAGCAAACCGCCAACTAATCCAGACCTCCATCGGGTTCCAAGCCATCAAAGGCACCAGTGCCATGAAGTCTGGCGTCATGAGCCTCCCCATGATCCTCAGCTTATTAACCTTCTCCTTTCTAGTGGGCACCCTCACTTCCGGGCTAGGATATTACTTGCAACTCGCCTACTTATCTATAACCTTCATGGCCGTGGGAACCGGCCTCCTCGCCACCTTTCAAGTCGACTCCAGGCACTCTGAATTGATTGGATACGAATTCATCCTCAGCGCAGGTGTTGGGCTCGGTCTCCAAGCGGCATCTGTAGCCACACAAAAGGCGCTTCCCATTGCAGATATCCCCATCGGCACGGCGACGATATTCATTTTCCGGAAAAATTGACTGCAGCGATCATTGTCTCTGTCGCACAGAACGTGTTTGCGAACCAGCTCGTGGGTAATTTGAGAACGTGTGTGGCGGACTATAAGTTCGATCCCAGGGGTATATTGGACTTGGGCGCAACACAGATCAAAAGCAGGGTGCCCAAGGAGACTTACAGACGGGTGCTACTTGCGTATAACAGGATGTTGACGCAGATGTTTTATGTTGATGTTTCAGTGTCGTGTGTGGCCCTTCTAGGTATTGTTTTCTTGGAATGGTTGTCTGTGAAGGGGATAAGGGGAAAAGCAGAAGGGAAAAAGCAGCAAAGCAGAGAGTGTGGAGAGCGGATAGAGAGCGGATTTTTTTGTTCTCTTGATTCTCAGTATTAATATTTTTCCACGATTTATATTCATAGATAAATCGATAGCTTCTTATAATTTTAATCAAGAAAGACTTGACTTCATCTCTTATTAATCACAATTGCCAGCCCTAACACATTAACTACTCACGAACTCCATCCATACTCCATGGCAATATGAACCAGGTACGGAAAGGTCACCAGAATCCCCCCCTCCTTTTTCTCGTCTAATTACTATTACAAGGGGGAATATATCCCGCTTTCCAATCTTCTCCGAAACTTTTCCAGAAAAGATTTTAAAATACGAAAGAATGTCCAGCAAACGAAAATGGATCGATGATCCTATTAGCCAATTCTTTCCTCCCGCATCAAGAAGCCAAAGAGCATGGTCTACATTAAGCCTAGCTCCGGGGGAGGGATAGGGATAGGGATAGGGATAGATAACGGAAACTATCCCGGCTTCCGATGCGGGTTGACAACGGTAAGTGTAGTTGTGCCTAGGCTAAAAGCAAAAAGTACTTTCAAGAGAAGAACCCCCCAGTTACTTTTTTTGTGGGGGGCTTCAGACAATCCGCATGCTCTGATCTATTCCTCTCGCAGTAGTTAGCTACTAGGAGTTTTGTTAGCCCGATGATAGATGCAGAAGCACTCAGAAGGGCTAGATCGTCGACCAGTTTCAGTTGCCGCGGGACAGAGATCTTTATTGATTAATTTTTAAAGCACATTAACTTAGTTCTCCACAACTTAATTTTTGATGGAGACAATCATGTTTAATTAATGGGCCTTTTATTAATTCCACTACCATACGGAACACACACTTCAGGGACCCTCCCCAGAGCTAACCAACTCCTGATGTCGATACGACTATGCACAAAAACATAGCTGCGTCTCTAGGCATGACTGATTGGATTCCGACCCCTGGACAGAGATGCCGCGTCTATCTTCCGTATTCGTTGTCGGTTTTCTGGCCATCATTAGCGCCAGTCTTGCCGGGGAGCCTGGGGGAGGGGAAGGCCTGGAAGAGAGATGGTGACCGGACTTAGCTCCGTAATCACAAACCTTGCAAGGCGCCTGGGATGATCTGACGGGGATCTGACGGGGGCCGGTGCAGTTTGATTCGTCCTTTAGGGCTTCAACTTGACGGCGCAACCCTAAAATACGTTCGATGTCGAACAGCCGCCGATGGCCATCGAAATGGCGGGAGAACGACAAGCATCCAGGAGGTAATTTAGGTGAAATTAGCGACCATATTTACCACGCCATGCATACGACCCGGGGGTTCTAGCCAGATCTGAGAGGGATCAGTTGTCCCCTCTGTGCGCTGTCTCAGGTTTTGGCAATTGTTTGATTGTGTCAGGGTATTGTATGAGGTGCATGCGGGCCACTGACCCTTCGAGGCGGCAATTGCTCCGAGCCGGGCGTGGTGTCTTTACCTGAATGAAGCATGAACTGCTGTCTGGGGGCATTGGAGTCACCATTGACTCTTGTGCTGGTGTGTGTATGTGGGCAGGGATAGGAGGCAGACACTGCAGAGACTGCGCATGGGGACATTTCCCACTTGGGAGTCTGGCTTGATTCTTCTTCATCTCCATCTTCACATTGGTCTCCATCTTCATTGTTGTAATTGTTGTTGTATTCCTTCATTTATAGTTTTTCTTTCTTTTCTTTTCTTTCCTTTCCTTTCTTCTCCCTCTATTCTCCCCCTTTCTCCTTTGCTAGTTAACTTAAGCAGATCACAACAATGGGAGAACAAGGCATTCCCACGCAGTCGTCTTCTGAGAACACGTCCGACCACGAAAAGGGCATCTCTAATGACTCTAACCACGCCATTGACAGCCTCGAAGCAGACGGCGAGAAAGAAGGCTATGTGCTCGACACCTCTCTTGCGCAGGATAGAGGGCTACAGGCTACCAAAGATGGCCGCACCATTCTCATCCCGCAGCCGTCCGCGTCGCCAATGGACCCGCTTAACTGGAGCAGCTTCAAAAAGCACCTTATTCTAATTGTTATCTCGATGACGGCTTTTTTGCCGGATTATGGAAGCGCAACAGGGGCGGTTACCTTGATCCCGCAGGCAGTGTATGTTGGGATTCTTTTTTTCATATCTGTGAATAACCGCTACGCGTTGTGTTGAAGGGGGGAGGGAAAGAAAACAACCAACCCGAAAGATGATTAATATCATTGACTTCTTTTTATGAAAATAGACAGTGGGCGATGACCGAGGACAACGTGAATCATTCCCAGGTCGGCAATGTATTCATGCTGGGCGCTGGCGGCGTTGTCGTTGTTGCACTCGCTGCGTATTTTGGCCGATATCCAGTATTCTTCTGGTTCACAGTCCTCGCGACTGCGACTGCTGCGTGGTGTGCGGCGGCTGTAACTTTCGAATCATTTATGGTATGTGTATAATCCACCCCCTGTGAGACTCTATTAACCAATTTACTTCTTGGACAGGCTGCCAGAATTCTCAACGGCTTCTTCTCCACCGTTGCCCAGGGAGTAAGTCGCATATCATCACTCTCATCTTGGGTAATTTCTAAAAATAAATCACTAGGGCGGTCTCATGTTCATCAAAGATATGTTCTTCTTCCATGAACATGCCCGTAAAATCAATGTCTGGTCCAGTTTCATCATCGTCTCCCCGTATCTCGGGCCACTCCTAACCGCCTTCATCATTAACACCCAAAAATGGCAATGGGCCTTTGGCGTCTACTCCATAATGACTGGTCTCTGTCTATTCCTCCTCGTTTTCTTCGTTGATGAGACATACTATGACCGTAAACTTCCCGAGTCGCAGCAGCCCGCGCGTGGACCCAGGTGGAAGCGACTGGTCGGGATTGAACAGTGGCAGTCGCGCCATCTGCGGAACAGTTTTAAGGATGCCTGCATGAGACCGATTATCATCATCTGCAAGCCCCCCGTGTTCATCTCCATGCTGGCCTACGGCATGACGTTCTCCTGGGTCGTCGGCGTCAACACCACACTCTCCATCTTCCTGGGGCCCCTCTATGGCTTCGGCCCGAAACAAATAGGTAATCATCCCCATACCTACTGAACCAAAAACATCTCCTAACCGAAAAACGCCCAAAAACAGGCTTCTTCTATTTCACCCCCGTCACAGCCGCCATTCTCGGTGAAATAGTCGGCCACTGGCTGCACGACCTGATCGCCAAAATGGCCATGAAACGCAACAACGGCCGCCTGGAGCCCGAAGCCCGATACGCAGCCGTCTGGATTTCCACCCCCTTCATTTTCGCGGGTCTTATCCTGCTCGGTTTCGCGCTCGAACGGCAGTATCACTACATGCTCGCCTCGCTAGGCTGGGGCCTATTTGTCTTCGGCATCATGATCACCACTGTCGCAACAAACGCATACGTATTGGACAGCTACCCGGAAGCTAGCGGCGAGGTCGCTGCGTGGATCAATTTTGGCCGCACGACGGGCGGGTTCATTGTTAGTTATTTTATGGTTCGGTGGGCGAATGATCAGGGGACCATCAGGCAATTTGGGACCATGACGGGTATTTCTGCGTTTGCGTTTTTGATGGTGCTTGGTTTGCAGTATTTTGGGAAGCGGTTGAGGCTGTGGGCTGGGCCGGCGAAGTTTAAGACTGGTTAGACGGTGGAAGGGAAAAGGGTGATGGGGTGAAAGGAGAGGGGGGGAATCGATAAGGGGTCCAAACTGTCGAGTGATCAGCCAGATACCAGTGGGCGATCTTTGATCTTTCTGTTCTGTCTGTGTCTGCGTCTGTGTTTGTGTGTGGGTAATGTTATCTTCTATTTTTATCTGTGTATATTTATAATATTGTCATGAAATTGCAAAATAATGACTTCTCTTTGCATATTAAACAGCGTTTCTTCCGCTTCACTGTGGTAATACTATGTGGTTAACTTAGGGCAAGCGAAACTTTATTTCCCATTTTTCCTGCCTCTCGCACATAGGAACATCCGCCCGCCCTTTGACATCATCAAGCGGGACCCGTGGCCCAATTGGCAAGGCGTTTGACTACGATTTGTGTCTTATCACATCAAAAGATTGTGGGTTCGAATCCCATCGGGTTCAGTCAAAGGTTTATCTTTTTGTTTTTTGAATCTTTTTTTTTTATTCCTTGACACACAGTCTCCGGCCCGCGCAAGTTTTCTATCATTATTTTTTCGCCCCGGTTGGGCTTCGGTTTTCCTTCGGGTTGAACTTCAGCCTTACGGAAGTTAACGAAAGAAACCCCTTTTTTCCTTTTTTTTTTTCACCGCAGCCGTGCACAAATTTTCTCCACCCCACCCATCCACCCATCCACCGCTCCGCTCCGCTTCCCACACAATGCAATAACAAAACGAGCCACCACCATCCCACCACCATCAATTCCCGGACCCGTGGCCCAATTGGCAAGGCGTTTGACTACGATTATCATATCAAAAGATTGTGGGTTCGAATCCCATCGGGTTCAATTCTTTTTTGCTTTTTGTGCTTGCTTGCTTCTTGGAATGGTTGTGTGGCTGTATCAAATTTTTTTTTCTGCGGCGGGTGGGAGAGGGGGAATAGATAGATGAGGGGTTGGAACGATTACGCGCTTGGCAATTGAAGCAGATGAGGTATGTGCATTATCAGCATTGTTTTTTCTCCCCAAAAGGATGATAGTTTAATGAAAAGAATAGAAGTGGATGTTTGATATCATGTTCCGTGTGGTAAGGGGGAATATAGCGGGCGTGCATTACATAGATATTCAACGCAATGCCTAGCAGTAAGCAGGTTACTTCGTTATACTCTTCATGGGGAGAAAAAATAAGCTTCATGGACATAAGACTCAAGGTAATATGTAGTTTATATCTAGGTGCTTGTTTCCTGATTGAGTGTTATGGTCATTGGTTGTAGAAAATATATATTTAAGTGGCTAATCACCCACGGTAGAATTGGAAACCTTTTCATTTAGAGATAATTCCAACCCCTAGGCGTTACCCATGTGAACCGAAACCCCACGGAAAACCTGTACAGAGAAATTAAAAAATGCCTATAATCCCAGGAATTATTATACATGTATAAGGAAAAGGGTAACTGTAGATTCAACCCCCCCCCCCCAAGTGGTACTAATGATAACTCTGATTTCCGGTTGAATGGCGCTTTAATGATCAACCCGACATAGTTCAGTTGATATATTCTGTCTGCTGTGGCAGTCACTTATTCCTGACACTGTCGAAGCTGATACCCATTGACAAATCAAGCGTCCGAATCCGGTTAACAAGATCTTTAAGGGGATCATCCGTCAACGATCCGGAAATATGGACAGAGAAAAGCATGAGTACGTGTACTTGCTTCTATCCATGCTAAATTCTTCTTTCTAATCGTCGCCACGTCCGCGAAGGATGGTAGGTCCCCCTTACCCCTCTATTTGGCAACAACATTAGCACTTTGATACCATCCTCCAGCTTCCCAAATCGGTTCAGAGGCCTATACCCTGCATAGTGAACCATGACTAGACTTCTCTCAGGGGTTTGGTGTGTTACAGTGAGCATCTTGGTGAAATTTCCCTGTATGATCGATGATAGCAAGGGGTCAGTAGGCTTAACGATAACTTCTTGAGGAGGGTGACCAAAATGTGCTACAGATGGATTAAAAATTTTTACCCAGTCTGCCTGTGTGTCATCATTCTGAAAGTATATGTGCAGACTGTACACATTGGCAAAAGTTCTAGCTCATTGCTTAATTGCTGCTTGAAGATGGCTGCATGGTAAAATTCAGTGACGGTCCTTTGGGACATTTAATGGAGGCAAAATGATTTGTAGCTCTACCCAGCCACATTATTTCTCTTGCTAGGCTCACTAAAGAGCTTCCAAAGCTGTATGACTTCAGCATAGCCAAAGTTCATTATTCCGTCCATCAAAAGTGTTTTGACTGATTCAGTGATGATTGAGATTGAAGAGATGCCATCAAAAACGTCTGACATCATGCGCCGAACTAAAGTAAGGCTCTAGTTATCTGAGGATGACATCTTATTGACATCGATCTCTGAATTCTTCTTGGGCCTGCGTATCTGTCTGCGAATTCGGAGTAGGCTCTGGAAATGTGGGTGTCATAACGGTTGTTGAGGTACTAGATAAGAACATGGTCCCCTGGGCGAAAACATATTGGTGTATGGTGCTAATCATGTATTGCTTCATAGCCACAGCCGTGTGGTCTAATGCTTCCTTTTAGCATCAATACGCAGTTTGAAGTCCAGAGGGAGTGGGGACTGTACTTGCCCGCTGCCCTAAAAACCGGATACTGAGGGCTTCCCTGGAGATCCTAGAACTTCCTATGTAGACATGCTACTAGACGAAGCGGAAGAGAGTTGTTTGATTAGGTAGAGAGAAGCAGGGCCAGTAAAGAGATAGGGCCCGACCTACCTCACTGATGAAGGGGTTGCAGTGAAGAGCCGGCTAACTAGAGAAGTGAAGATTTCCTCATTCCCTTCCCACATGCACTTGGAAAAGGTTAAAAAAAAGGAAAAAATAATACTATCCCCTACCCGCTCGAAAAAACTTCCATGCATGGGAAGCACCAAAAAAAGAACAAAAAATGAACCCGATGGGATTCGAACCCACAATCTTTTGATGAGACCAAGTCGTAGTCAAACGCCTTGCCAATTGGGCCACGGGTCCTGATTTGTTGGAAGACCAGCCCCTCCTCGGTCACTTTGTTGCCGAGGCACAATTCCCACCTTCCTTCATCATCCCTATCCAAGTTCCACCCCGCTTGTAAATTCAAAATATGTGATTCCTACCCAACGAACAAATCTCTGCTTGGCCCTGTAAACTGGAGACCAATGCCTTTGCGACATCCACTCGCTTTATCCTTCCAGCCTCAAATCTAGCATCAATCTAACCTTCAACAACAAGACCCCGAAGAAGAAAATTTCCATCCCCTTGCCAAAACGGTGGCTTCATTACCCTCCTCCCATCCATTCACATGTCTCTAAACCCTGGGAGACTCGGGCGTCAAGTGTCATCGTTATGTATGATTCCTTAGACAACTCCGTTTAACCGGCAATCTAACTGGCCACGGCGTCAAGGATCAGATAAATCCCCATGCAATCGTTACCGCACCTTGAAGCGCCACAATGCCAGGGGCTGCACAACTTAATAGGCCAACTACTTGGGCAAGTCCTCCCGTATTCCCGAGAAGCCATGGCTTGATGGGTGAGAACTTTGTTTTTCATTTCTCTTTTCCAAAAGGCTTCCTTTTTGCTTTCCAGCAGCACGCTAATGCGGGTGCTTTGCGTTTTCTCTTTGATAGGACCGGCAGAGACAACCCCGTTCCTCGGCTCGATGCTAAAATGCGGCATCAAAAAGGTGGGATGTTTTAGTTTCTTAATCTTACTACGATTCAGGGAATCAGAAGGGGTTGGGCATCACTCCTTGAAGTACTCTTCTGGTTTCGAGATCTATGACAAGAGTCTCTAAATTGTTCCTCCCCTTCCTGGACGACTATGGGAAGAAGGAATCAAAACGTGATCTGCGAAATCTATTTCGAGCAGACTAAGTTCAGACAATTATTCAACCTTTGAAGATCTCAATGACCAAGATGTCAAAATATGGGGTGCATCTATCCTGCAGATAGAAAGTGAAGGGAATGATACCCTGCAAAGGGAAATATGCGAGGATCAATCTCATTCTTTTCAAGCCAAGCCCCTTCTATCCCTGCATGGGCCAACTTAAATTTTGCAGAGGAGGGATTTGGACAAGCCCGTACCGACTACGGAGTAGATCTTCTCTCTCGCGACGGCCTTTGACGAAAGGGGTAATGCACCATTTTATGAAGCAGGATTCTAAGGACGCCAACTCTTTACAATAACCATGATTGCTGCCAGCCTCTAGGATTTACTTCAACATCACTCCAGGAGCTGGGTTCACTCATTCGCGTGTTCTTGAAAACCATTTATTCTCTCTCCATTACACAAGCAAGGAACCTCCCGGTCTTGGTGGCATCCATCCCCCTAGACGTTGACAATGGTTGCATAATTTATATGTTACAGGCACATTTCAGGGAACATTCTCTTAACGATCCTTCCCCATCCATGCAAACTCTACTGCCTTCTAGAACTACAGTGGGGATACGGGAACCACGGTTTGAGGAAATGATCATCACTCTGTCAGAAGCATCCTACTCCCCTCATTGGAGTACGGTTTCTTACGTATGTAGTTACTATACACACATCTTAAAGGAACCATATATGTCGTGTTCTCATACAACTTTGTGCCAGACCCGTCTAACAATGGGGTTTAATCAACATCAGCTACTCCATCATCATCTCTCTTGATCAATTAAGTATTATCGGCATGCGGGTTTCCGGCCGTAAAGTTGAAGATCTTGGTCAACGTGAAGAGAGATTAAATAACCTCCCACGGCCTGTTACCTTCGAGAGACGACATCCTTAGGAGGATACTGGTATCTATTTTACAAGGTCTGTAGCCACGCGGTACAGGCGCCAATAATGGCGGAGATGTTGTACATACTGACAAGGAAGCCACCACTTCTTTATGTCCTTGCAGGGGATATGATATTGGACAGCAGTATATAGCCTCAAGGTATGTATTTCTAACATGGCTTTCTCAAACTCGCAGTTTTTTGGAAAAATATATTTCTCAGGTGATGAATAAGCTGCAACTGGAACAGTCGTTGTTGAGGTGCAATCCTGATCTTATAGATAGCAAAGCCCCACCGATGTAAGCGCCGCCATTGTCGGAAACACGAACAACAAAACCCACTGCCCCGATGACGCCCAAGTCTTTTATTAGCACTAATTTCGGGTCTCCGTTCGACCCTGCTAGGGCTGGGGCTGGTTCGATCTCTGTGCCAAACCCCCTCGAATATGCCTAGTTATTAGTGTGTCCATCCAGACTTCAGGAATAGATTGGAGAAGACACAATACAATGTTTCACCCCAAGGAAAAAGGTTGTATATTCCAAGAGTTTGATAAAGCTGTTTTCCATTTGGGAATGTGTTCCAGGCCGTTCTGCTTCTTCTTATCAAGATTCTTTTCAATTGGTGCTTGCTCGGCTTGTTTCCTAGCAGTGAGGGGTTCACACTAA